AAACAATAGCAAAAACACTAAATTCAAAAGATTCAGTGGAGGGTAGAAATAACCCTCAACGTTCACGTTTACGTGGATTTTTTTATGGATTAATTTATATTTTTGTTTTACTTGGTGGATTTAGTATCCTATAGGTACAAATTGATAATTAGGTGTCCATGGAGCAAAAATGATCAAAGAGTAATAAAAGAGTTGCAATTAGGAAAATAAAATAAAATTAGAAGAGAGGATCCCTCAACATCTTCGGTAGTGTCCACGAAGTCGAGCATAACTTTCTCATCCGGACTCCAAATCAACTGGTTCCGGCGGCATTACAAAGCTATTTTAGCTGGCTACAATTCCTATCTAATGTCAAATTTCCAAATTCGGGCTCGAACATTGTCAAAATTGGATTCCAAAAGCGATCATGAAAATACATGCTACAGTTCGAGGACACGAATGCGCATCAATAAACGTGCACAAAAACACTCGCTACAAAAGATACGTACATAAGTAAAAGTACAAAAGCCTGCACAAAAGTACTCACGCAAGAGTGCATTCACAAAAAGGATCATGAAAACACAAACTACAATCCTAGGACATTAATACAAATCCACAAACATGCACAAACACACTCGCTCAAATGGACATGCACAAACGTACATGTAAAAAATATGCGCAAAAGTGCATTCACAACAACGTTCTTAAAAACACGAAATACAACACTAGGACTTTAATATGAATAACCAAACAATAGCAAAAACACTAAATACAAAAGATACAGTGGAGTGTAGAAATAACCCTCAACGTTTACGTTTACGTGGATTTTTTTAAGGATAAATTTATATTTTTGTTTTAATTGGTGGATTTAGTATCCTATAGGTACAAATTGATAATTAGGTGTCCATGAAGCAAAAATGATCAAAGAGTAAGAAAAGAGTTGCAATTAGGAAAATAAAATCAAATTAGAAGAGAGGATCCCTCAACATCTTCGGTAGTGTCCACGAAGTCGAGCATAACTTTCTCATCGGGACTCCAAATCAACTGGTTCTTGCGGCATTAGAAAGCAATTTTAGCTGGCTACAATTCCTGTCTAATGTCAAATTTCCAAATTCGGACTCGAACATCATCAAAATTGGATTCCAAAAGCGATCATGAAAATACGTGCTACAGTTCGAGGACACGAATGCGCATCAAAAAACGTGTACAAAAACACTCGCTACAAAACACATAAGTAAAAGTAAAGCATGCATAAAAGTACTCACGCAAAAGTGCATTCGCAAAAAGGATCATGAAAACACAAGCTACAATCCTAGGACATTAATACAAATCCACAAACATGCACAAACATACTCGCTCAAATGGACATGCACAAACGTACATGTAAAAAATATGTGCAAAAGTGCATTCGCAACAACGTTCTTAAAAACACGAAATACAACACTAGGACTTTAATGCGCATAACCAAACAATAGCAAAAACACTAAATACAAAAGATACAGTGGAGTGTAGAAATAACACTCAACGTTCACGTTTACGTGGATTTTTTTATGGATTAATTTATATTTTTGTTTTACTTGGTGGATTTAGTATCCTATAGGTACAAATTGATAATTAGGTGTCCATGGAGCAAAAATGATCAAAGAGTAAGAAAAGAGTTGCAATTAGGAAAATAAAATCAAATTAGAAGAGAGGATCCCTCAACATCTTCGGTAGTGTCCACGAAGTCGAGCATAACTTTCTCATCCGGACTCCAAATCAACTGGTTCCGGCGGCATTACAAAGCTATTTTAGCTGGCTACAATTCCTATCTAATGTCAAATTTCCAAATTCGGGCTCGAACATGGTCAAAATTGGATTCCAAAAGCGATCATGAAAATACATGCTACAGTTCGAGGACACGATTGCGCATCAATAAACGTGCACAAAAACACTCGCTACAAAAGATACGCACATAAGTAAAAGTACAAAAGCCTGCACAAAAGTACTCACGCAAGAGTGCATTCGCAAAAAGGATCATGAAAACACAAACTACAATCCTAGGACATTAATACAAATCCACAAACATGCACAAACACACTCGCTCAAATGGACATGCACAAACGTACATGTAAAAAATATGCGGAAAAGTGCATTCACAACAACGTTCTTAAAAACACGAAATACAACACTAGGACTTTAATATGAATAACCTAACAATAGCAAAAACACTAAATACAAAAGATACAGTGGAGTGTAGAAATAACCCTCAACGTTTACGTTTACGTGGATTTTTTTAAGGATAAATTTATATTTTTGTTTTAATTGGTGGATTTAGTATCCTATAGGTACAAATTGATAATTAGGTGTCCATGAAGCAAAAACGATCAAAGAGTAAGAAAAGAGTTGCAATTAGGAAAATAAAATCAAATTAGAAGAGAGGATCCCTCAACATCTTCGGTAGTGTCCACGAAGTCGAGCATAACTTTCTCATCGGGACTCCAAATCAACTGGTTCTGGCGGCATTAGAAAGCAATTTTAGCTGGCTACAATTCCTGTCTAATGTCAAATTTCCAAATTCGGACTCGAACATGATCAAAATTGGATTCCAAAAGCGATCATGAAAATACGTGCTACAGTTCGAGGACACGAATGCGCATCAAAAAACGTGTACAAAAACACTCGCTACAAAACACATAAGTAAAAGTAAAGCATGCACAAAAGTACTCACGCAAAAGTGCATTCGCAAAAAGGATCATGAAAACACAAGCTACAATCCTAGGACATTAAGGGCAACTCCAACCGAGACCCTAAATGAGGACCCAAAAGCAATAACTGCCATTTTGATGGCCAAAGTCTGGATTTTTTTGTTCCAACCGAGCCATCAAAACAGGCCCCATTTTTGGACCTCCCCATCTCTGCCATAAAAAATGGGGTCTGAAAATTGGGTAATCAAAAATTGGAGGGAAGCTCCCAACGGATCTATTTCCTCCCAACGGATACATTTCCTTCCACCCAACGTCTCTTTTATTTGCAGATTCAACTTTAATTAAAAAAAAAATCCTATAAAGAAGACCATTTCGGTTTGAAAAAAATACATAATTTCAAAACTCAAAAACAACGAAAAAAAGGTAACCTTTTATGGATTTCTGCGTTTTTGATTTTTCTTGTGAATCGGAGCACGAAAAAAATAGTGAAAGAGAGATGAGAGAAAAGGGGTTAGAAAAAAAGAGAGAAGATTGGGGAGAATGAGTGAGAGAAAAAAAAAAAAAAAAAGAATAACCAGACGATGAAAATAAGAGAGGGGAGAGAAGGAGAGAATTAGAGAGAGAGAGAGAGAGAACAAAGGAGAAAAAAAAAGAAATAAGAGAGAGAGAGATAGAGAACAGAGGAGAAGAGATGAGAATAAGAGAGAGGGGTGTTGACGGCTCAAAGTGGTGGGGTGGGGTGATTAGGGTATATATATTAGGTTAATTAGGGTTATTTAATTAAGTGTTTATTTTTTATATTATTTTTTATTTATATGCTAATTATTATTAGGTTAATTATTTTTATATGTATGCTAATTAATAATTATTTTCTTGCTTTTGTAGATGGATGACGATATGTATCATTCTTACGCTGATTTGCTAAATAGCACGTCACCGGAATTTGTGGAAATTAATCAATTCGACGAGATTTCTACACCTCTCGAAAGTGCAGTGGCAGGGCAAGTATTATCAAAAAGAAAAAAGAATTTTTCCCGCGATGAGGATATTATTCTTGTTTCAGCATGGCTAAATACAAGCAAGGATGCTATTACTGGAAATGATCAGAGAGCCACTACGTTTTGGGGAAAAATATATGATATATTTATGAGTCATGGCGGTGATGTGGGGCGTACCGAGAAAAGTATAAAACATCGTTGGGGGCAAATTAATGCACGATGTTCTAAATTTGCTGGATGTGTCAAACAAATCGACGATAGACATCAATCCGGTCAATCGACTCATGGAAAGGTAAATATTTATATTTCAATTTTTTGTTCATAGAATACTATTTACTTATTTTTCACCTTATATTTTTTGCAGTTGATTGAAGCAAAACAACTATATGTTGCCGATGAAGGTAGAGCTTTCCAACTAGAACATTGCTTTGAACTTCTTCAAAATGAGAGAAAATGGCAAACACTAAAAAAAAGTAAAATTGTCGACCTCGATGTTGATGCAAGCCCTCTTGGTGATAGTAGTGATCATTCCACTACTCACGTTCGGCCTCTCGGTAACAAGGCGTCAAAAGAACAATTGTCAAGGAAGAAAGCAAACTTAAAGACCGGTAGCTCATCTACGATGTCTGTTACGGATGAGCGTTGGGCAAAAAAGATTGAAATAGAAGAACAAAAGTTTGAGCAGCGCAAAAAAATGATAGAGGAGTCTCAAAAAAGTCGTGAGATTGCAATTATGGGGACAAACACTAGCGGAATGGATCCAATTCATGCCGCTTATTGGGAGGCCCAGAAAAATGAAATACTTAGCAAAAGAGGTTTTAATTGATTAATCTTGTATGTTTATTTCTCTAGTAATTTCAAATTGAATGTTTACTGTTTTCTAGATAAAATGAAAAATTATAATTGTAATCAACGTTATTTTATTAATATTAGAAAGTACCGTTGAGATAAACTGAAACATTATAAATAGAAATAAATTGAAACACTACAAATAGAAATATTGCCACAAATTGAAATATTACAAATACAACTATCAATCTTCTTTATATCATTAAGTGAGCCTGGCATCCCAAAAAAAGCATGCCATATCCAAAGATCCTGAGAAGCAACTGCCTCTAATACAATAGTCGGTGAACGAGAATGGCCAGTGTACATACCTTTCCAAGCAGTTGGGCAATTTTTCCACTCCCAATGCATGCAATCAATGCTTCCAAGCATTCCTGGAAATCCACGTTGCTCGTTAACTTGGAGCAGTCGCGATAGATCTGTTTCGGTTGGTGTTCTTAGATATACTTCACTGAAAATGACAACTATCGCTTCGACAAAATGACGTAAGCTATCAAGGGAGGTGCTTTGACCTATGCGTATATGATCATCTAGAAGATCAGCTGGAATTCCATAGGCAAGTATTCTGAGTGCAGCTATTACCTTTTGAAGAGATGATAAGCCAGGGACCCCGATTGCATCATTTCTTTGTACAAAGTAGGGATCATGTGATTCAACTGCATTTAGAATTCAACAGAAAAGAGGCCTCCGCATCCGAAATCTTCTTCTGAATTGATCATCAGAATATGTTGGATTATCAGAAAAATAATCCTGATAAAGCCTTCTGTGCCCTCCAGCTCTGTCACGATGAATTACCCTTCGGCCCGGAACAGAACCACGACGACGCCTATTTCGCCTTTCGCCTTCCTCATTTTGAGTTGCTATTAAAAGCAATTCAAGATCGTCATCAGACTCAGAAGTTAAGAAAGTGTTTAGCAACTCAAGATTTCGATACATGGTGAAATGATGAGACGAAAATTGCAAATAGAGAACAAATGTTATAATATGAATAAGCTATTGAAGTGTTGAAAACTGCATCCTATGAACCCTCCTAAATATATGTTTGGGGATGAAGATAAGATGTACGATATGAACACAAAATCTCATCAGAAATTTTAACGTCCTCTCAAAACTCGACATGTATCCCAAAAAATCTTATCGGCTAAAATGTAATAGTAATTTTGACGTCCTCTCAAAAATTGACAAGTGTCCCCGAAAATCTTATCAGATAAAATATGATAGTTGCAATATGTAGAATAATTCTTTAATCGACACCTCGACAAGATAAAGATAACAGGTGTGACGTGACACAAATTATTTTTTTCGTATTATTAAATTTATTTTATTTTTATTTCATTTAAATTTAAATTTAAATATATTTATTGATTTATTTATTTCTAACAAAATATAGTTAGTTTTCATTTAAATAAAATAAAATAAAATAAATTTAAAAATGGGGCCCCAATTTGATGTTTGCTATTGGAGTGAAAACCTTTTTGTAAAGCCCCAAAACACTATAGCAAGCCCCAAATAAGTGTTTGGGGTCTTCAATTTGGGGTCTCCCATTGGAGTTGCCCTAATACAAATCCACAAACATGCACAAACACACTCGCTCAAATGGACATGCACAAACGTACATGTAAAAAATATGTGCAAAAGTGCATTCGCAACAACGTTCTTAAAAACATGAAATACAACACTAGGACTTTAATGCGCATAACCAAACAATAGCAAAAACACTAAATACAAAAGATACAGTGGAGTGTAGAAATAACACTCAACGTTCACGTTTACGTGGATTTTTTTATGGATTAATTTATATTTTTGTTTTACTTGGTGGATTTAGTATCCTATAGGTACAAATTGATAATTAGGTGTCCATGGAGCAAAAATGATCAAAGAGTAAGAAAAGAGTTGCAATTAGGAAAATAAAATCAAATTAGAAGAGAGGATCCCTCAACATCTTCGGTAGTGTCCACGAAGTCGAGCATAACTTTCTCATCCGGACTCCAAATCAACTGGTTCCGGCGGCATTACAAAGCTATTTTAGCTGGCTACAATTCCTGTCTAATGTCAAATTTCCAAATTCGGGCTCGAACATGGTCAAAATTGGATTCCAAAAGCGATCATGAAAATAAATGCTACAGTTCGAGGACACGAATGCGCATCAATAAACGTGCACAAAAACACTCGCTACAAAAGATACGCACATAAGTAAAAGTACAAAAGCCTGCACAAAAGTACTCACGCAAGAGTGCATTCGCAAAAAGAATCATGAAAACACAAACTACAATCCTAGGACATTAATACAAATCCACAAACATGCACAAACACACTCGCTCAAATGGACATGCACAAACGTACATGTAAAAAATATGCGCAAAAGTGCATTCACAACAACGTTCTTAAAAACACGAAATACAACACTAGGACTTTAACATGAATAACCAAACAATAGCAAAAACACTAAATACAAAAGATACAGTGGAGTGTAGAAATAACCCTCAACGTTTACGTTTACGTGGATTTTTTTAAGGATAAATTTATATTTTGGTTTTAATTGGTGGATTTAGTATCCTATAGGTACAAATTGATAATTAGGTGTCCATGAAGCAAAAATGATCAAAGAGTAAGAAAAGAGTTGCAATTAGGAAAATAAAATCAAATTAGAAGAGAGGATCCCTCAACATCTTCGGTAGTGTCCACGAAGTCGAGCATAACTTTCTCATTCGGACTCCAAATCAACTGGTTCCGGCGGCATTACAAAGCTATTTTAGCTGGCTACAATTCCTGTCGGATGTCAAATTTCCAAATTCGGGCTCGAACATGGTCAAAATTGGATTCCAAAAGCGATCATGAAAATACGTGCTATAGTTGGAGGACACGAATGCGCATGAAGAAACGTGCACAAAAACTCTCGCTACAAAATATACGCACATAAGTAAAAGTAC